TCATTGAAATTTAGAGAGTGCTTGGGCGCGCTCAAAATATTATTATTTATTATCCTGAATAAATGACAAAACAAATTATTACATGAATTAGTTTTTGTTCGGTTCACATGCAAAGTCTAATTGGTAGTATTTCGATCGTGAAATACACGTCATATAAATATGGCTTGCGTTAAACTTTAGCACTGAAGCGAAGCCATCGAGAACCATGAAAAACATGGATCTCCGCCACAAAAATACACATATTAGTGGTTATCCGGCACACATAGTACAATAAAGTGTATTATGAACAAGTTTTTTTTATTTTCACCAAGAGTATAGCATAATGACGGTAACATTACATATGATGTAGTTTAGTTCAGTCAATGTGGTAGGCGCTAAAACGATAAAAACCAACGAGAAACAAATAAAGCATATACTGACTAACTCAAAATATAAATCTGATTTTCGAATTTACTGTTTGTTGTTTGTTGACTGATTTTGTTGACCAGCTATTGCGGCCGCCTCCAAAAGTGCATGCAAATTGTTTGCGGCGTTGAATGTCCCGATGTTTGCCTGCTCGATCGTCCCTGTCCCAGTGGGTAGTCCCACGTCCCGCGAAGTTACATCAGGATGATTTGCTATGGATGTTTCCATTTTGACATCACGGTGATATACTGGAGAGTCAACAACCAATCACAAGACTGGTTACGAACCAGTTGAGCAAGGCTAACCTAGTCGTGACCTCGATGTGGTTCGTAACCAGTCTTGCGATTGGTTGTTGACAAATGCTGAACAGGCCACGCCTCCAACTGTGCCATGCGTTCCGGCAAACCGTTAGGAATTCCTAAATGGAGTAAATTTGTGTAGTTTTCTTGATTTATTCTGCAGATATCGGTAAAATGTAGGTAGGGCTTTGGCGAAATTTGAAGAAGCAACTAATATTCTACAACCTGGTATTTTTTTTATATTTTATTTTTCATTCTTTTCGTCTGTTTTTTCGAGTTTAAAAAATGTGAGCTGGCTGGAGCCTTCATCCCTTGTCTATTTCTTACACTAGATACCAGCCGATACCCCCCCCCCCCCCGCTCATAGAGACTGCATATTACAGTTGATTATAGTTCCTGGGCTCCCTGTGATGGGACATGCCATTATGCGCAAACGCGACACTCACAATGATAATATTTTTAATAGGACTGTATATAAACCCATTGACAACATCTCAACAAACTAACAATCGAAGGAATTTACTTTTAACGTTTCTTGTTAATATTCAATTCCAGTGTTATGTTCGTATTATATTTCTTCCAAGTGTTACACATCAATGATTGTTATACCTACAAAGCAATGGAATATTCCAACTACTCCTGTTCCTCGTGCCCACACATCAAAGGCATACCGCGTCCGGTGTTTTGATTAACTGTCACGTGAGAGTTTATTGCGTCTACAACGGTCGTTGGGGCGTCTAGCAAAGTGTCTGGGGATGTTGCAAAGTCCCTCGGTAATTACCTAGCGGGTGCGCGAGTTAGGTGTATGTAAATATCTTGCGCTCGCTGTAAAGTCAAAAATCTACAAACTAACTCCAGGCGCCAGCTTAAATTCTGCGTAAATTAATTTTAAACTCTGCACACTAGTGAACAGATACTACAAATATTACAACATTCGCTTGGTATGAATGTGTATAACTCATGACCAAAATATTAAAGAAATAACATAATGAAATTAACTGACTAAAGTTCGATCGTTTAGCGTTCGAACAACGTTTCCAAGGAAGCGTGTGAACACAGATTTGGTAAAGCTTACCGAGCTACACATGGCATGTTTTTAGAAATTCCCTTCTGACCCGGCTCGACAGAAACGCACACTGTTGGTTACCGC